CACACACACACACACACACACACACACACGTTCCACTTTAAGCTACAGATATAGACTCTTCTCCCAGACAAGTATGCAGTAGTGTAATAAAACCCCCACTTCTTTCCTTTTGCAGACTTCAGTCATCTTTGAACCTGAGTTCTGAGACTATTTTACTTCTTTCTCTTCCCTACCTACATAAGCACCAATACTATATCCAAACATACACCACTACTGCACACCACAGTATCCGAGAATCTCCTTACAATGTAATGTTATTTATGATATTTTGCAGCTTAGGTCAGAGGAACACTCTCTTCACCTTTCAGTGTAAAAATTAACCTAGAATTTTGGAATGAAAAACACACAAAACATTTAGGAATTGAATTCAAAACAAAATAAGATTAATGCAGAAGAGGGACTTGTATGAACCCTAAAATCCACTCTGGCTTTTCAGTTATTATAGCTATTTGAGACATTTTTAAGCAGAAACAAGCAGCAAATGGCTTGCAAATAGCCAATAGCTATATTAGTGAAAATGAAGTTTCTTCCAAACTCTGCTCATTGAAATAGATGGCTCTTCTGAATAAAAAGTGTACTAACAATAATTGGAGCTAAAGCAAATATAAACACAGATGACAAAAGGGAGAAGAGGAAAAATCTTAATATCTATTACTTATTTCTGTGTTCATGTAACTGGCACCTAGCAATCTCTTAAGTACTGTTTCAGCATATACAAAAAGGCCAACATCTACACCGATAAAAATGTAAGCAGTGCTACAGACTCTTCCTGACCCCTGCATAAGGGAAAAAATAAACCTCCCTACCTCAAACACCCCCTACCAGGAAAGGGCCTGCATAAGGTTAGCTAATGTGGTATCTCATGCATTTGCTCTCATAAGTCCTAAAGCAGAAAGTCTTCCCTTGAAATTATTTTTACTCCCAGACAATTAGAAACTGATTTCAACTGTCAGATCTGAGCACAAGGACAGAGACAATTTCTGAACCAGTTAAGGCTTAAAGCTTCAGGTGCTTTGAAATCAAAACTCAATACCCTGATTTGTAAATCAGAGGATGCAAGAGAACAGAGCTAGTTCTCTGCTCTGCTTCACACATTTTTACAGAAACAATCATCCTGTTACATTCTGCCTTTGCTCAAGTTTCTCAGTTATCTTCTAGCTTGTCCCAAGCAGAGCATGTTACAATACTCCAAATCTGAAAGTGCCAAGGAAGTCAACTTCAAGAAATTTGCATCTGGCAGGAATGATGACAATCTCCTACCAGATGACAGAAAAATAAAAAGAAAAAAGAAAAAAAACTTTCTCCATTTCTGCCACTCCATGGAGGTATAGAAACTACTGGTGATTTAACTGGTCTCCTAGGTTCTTAGCAATAAAGGTTAACAAGTTCACTCAAAAGAAGGGATTGATAGGATTCCTATCTTTTCTCCAAAACACTCTCTCTGCCTTATTCAAGTTGAATGCCAGTCAGCCATTGTAGCAACCTTCTCTTTTGCTACCTAGAGCTGTCCAAGTCCAAGTCAGATGAACCAGACCCCGAGTGAGTGCCATAGATCTATTTTTGACATTGAAACAAATGTTTGTTCATAGGATGACTGCACAGCACAAAAGATAAAATTCTAAGGCCTACAACAGAGCCCTTGCAGCAGAAGGGCATTTGCCTGAACAGCACTGTCTGTTTACAATGGCAAGCCTTTTTTTCTGTTACCTGCCCAATGTTAAACACTAGAAGACAAAAAGGAAAGAAATTCACAGACAAATGGAATGAGTGGCAGGAATTGGTTTAATCTCACCTTTCCACTGTGGTTTGATTGTCAAGCTGATCTTGGTTCAGTTGGTAGTCAGGGTTTTCAGTCATTGGCTCTGTGATACTTGCAAGGATATCATGTCCCTGTTCTATTGCTAATCTCATGTCTTCCTGCAGAAGATAAAACACTCCCATAAAATATATCAGAGCAATCACAGAATTCACAAGAAACCCTGTAACAATGCAATGTTTTTTACAGAGAGATTAGTGAGAATCATTTAGTAATGTGATTAATAGCAATGCTTTAAAGCAAGGGTATCAAACTCATTCCACTCCCTGGGCAGATTTGGACTGTGGGGCTCTTCACATTGTAGATTTGAGTATGGCAGTAGCCGAGCATGCATTGGCATCCATGGGGGTTAATATGATCTTTACTCACCCTAATGCCCACATGTGTCCCCCCAAAGGGGGTCAGTATCCCAGATTTTGGTGGTAAGTCCATCCCTACCCACCATGCCCCCAAAGTCCTAGCTTTTTTACCAGCCCCACATGGCTGAGCCACAACTAGGCTATGTGGTTGACACTCCTGGTTTAAAGCAAATAAAGCTACAGGACTTTAAATATTTACACATTTTTAATGTATTTGCACATAAAAATAACATAAAAATATCACTGCTACATTTTGTTTATATAGCAATCCATGCCTAAAAAGATCATCCAAGTGTAGCGTCTTTCTTTGACCTTAAGGAGTATTCTTTTGCAAAGAATAAAGTTCCTTGTTTAACTTCAGACTTTCTTACAACTGTCTAGCTATACAAGAAGATCTTATATGCATCTATACATTTAAATTTAAAAATCCCTTCAATTTTTAGCTGTACTTGTATTGCTAGTTATAACTAAAACAATGTGCAGACTAAAAACACTGTTCCCTCCTTGCAACATGCTTACCTTCATTTTATCCTTCTTTTCTGTGTGTGTGGCAAGAAGGATGCTGGTTGACTGCACCTCATTTGGCAGTTCTGTCTCAGCCAGTTCAGTCCCAAAGGACTGAAGGGTTTGAGCTGTTTCCTTAACCATTAGGGCGAAATTTTCTATAGCCTTTGGGAACAGAAAAAAGTTAAAGAAATTTCACACTCTCTGAACACAAACTCCCACTGAAAAAAAAAAAAGATGCAAATGTTGTAAGATAACCATTAAAGCAGAGCAAAACTGACAGACTTCCAGAGATGAAAGATGGTCTATACAAAAGATTTTGCAAGCAACAGTTTTGTATACAAGCTACCTTCACCATCAGCTCCTTAACAGCATATTTTCTGTAGGACTACATCAGATACATTTCCCACATGTTTTTACAAACTGGTATCATTTTTTTAACTTTAGTTTTCTCTCTACTGAAGGAACAATAAACCTCCCCTCAACAATATTCTGCAGCTTTGTTGCTCCAAACCCCAAGAAAACCACTCCCAAACTTATTACTCATAATATTTCTCCAATATGACTAAGTTCCACTGGGACTCCTCACTCAGGCTATGTCAGTGCACATTAACTGGACTTTGTTTTTATAAATGATAGCATAAAACAGAAGGGTCCATTAAACTGAAAAAATAAAGCAACAACTGGAAACTTACAGTGCGATGAGACAGCCACCTGCTATGGGAATAATTTAGACTGCCACCGAGGTCTTCTGTTAGCTGCGATTTACTAACGTAACGCTGAAGTTCTGTTACTGAGCCCAACATTATGATCTGCAACAGCAAGAGCAGGATTAACATTACCAAACCAGTGACAAGGAATTTTGGGCTAAGTGCTTCATATCAGATTAGCTTCCACGTTGCTGGGTTTTTAGTTGTAGTAGTGTTGGTCTAAGGACATAGACAGGCAAGGCATTGTATCAGATTACCAATTTTGTTTACATAATTATTAAAATACTATTATTCGTCTGTGAGAAGGCTGATAGACATGTTTTCCTCAAAATTACAACACAGGACTAAATAATACCTATATTAAATTACACAGACCAAGTATTAAAATATTTTTATGCAAGTTTGTTCTTTTGACAAAGTGTTCTCAAGTTCCATATGAAGTCTTTTAATACATTCTTATGAACATAAGTTGAAGAAAAGGAATACTTACAGGTACCTTCATTTTAAATTCATCTCTGTTGAATCTGAAGGCAAGGTCGGTGAGAGTTCGGTGGAAAAATCCTGTTGGGCGTAGAACAAGGACTAGCTGCAGGTTTCCTGGGAAAGATGCCTGCAAATTATAATGAAGCCAGTTTGTCTTAGTTTCTGCATCTGGTTTCTACAGTTATAAGTAACCCAGTTTGAATCAGGATATAAGGAAGGCCTCTCAATGTTTCACCGAATAAAAACTCCAGGCCTCCAATTACTGTAGAAAGCCATTCTAATCTAATTATGATTTAACTATTTTTTGTGGATTGTAAAATGTTCCAGTGCTGTATTACATGGTTCACAATTACTGTTGATACTAGCTGTACTAAAATGTGGTAGTTCAAGAAGATAACATTGTTAAATATGAAGAGACAGCTTAATACAGTAGGGGCCAACAGTCTTTGCAGGTGTACCACAAATTAGCCCCACACTCTCCTTGAGTCTCTCTAAGATCCCTTTCCCCCACTTGCTGCTCTGCTTTCTACTCTGTACTCCCTGCCTGAGCTGCTGCTCTGATTTCTGCTCCCAGCCTGATCTCCTGTTGTCTTCTCCCTTATCTGTGGCTGTGCTGCTTATCTGCTCCCTGATTTGCTGTGTGTCACATACAGGCTGCCCATGCCACAGTGGTTCTCAAATCATGGGCTGCAGATTGTACTAAGCCCTTGGTTATAGCATTTGCCATTCAAAAATTTGATAAAGTACTTGATGGTCAGTGAGAAATTGAGGGCTGATACCAATCTGTGGGTCCAAAAAGTTAGTGAACCATTGCTTTAGTATGAATAAAACTTCCCTCTAAATTAAGGGAAGAAACAAAAAGTGATTTGATCATTTTTTCACAGAGAATATGGAGAAGTGCAAACCCAGATCATTCTAATTTCTTGCATCAACCATCAAATCATTCTTATCCTACTGCAGATTATAGGCCCTTTGTATCAACAAGAGAAGGTTTTGTCACTGTTTATGCCAGATTGATCCATAATTGCCAAATGCATGGAAAAAAATCCTATGAAAGCTAATTTTGCTTAAAAAAATAGGAAAAAAATCCATTTAAGTTACAATAATTTAACAAAAACAAAAAGGCTGAATAACTGTTTCATGTTAAGGAGTAAATTTAAATTGCTTTGGCTAAAACATGACTTTGCAGATGCACACAAAATGAAATTCTTGAAAGCCTAAACCCAAGAATGTTTTCAAGATGGGAACAGCAATGGCTTCTGTTTCAGACGGGAATTAGGAAGAAAATCAATGAAATAATGAATAAGCTTTTACATATTCTCTGTACAGAATTTAATTAATGCTTGATACCTTAATTTGAAGTCAGTTTTCTCTTTTTAATCATTATTAATCTAAAGGGTAAATATTATAGGAAAGAGGCATATTTTTTTCCTCCAGCCCAGGCAGTCTATCCAAAACAGCACTGCTATTCAGTCTGCAACTATTTACACTGAGGCAATGGACAGATGAACTGGCAAGCCTGTAGCCAGTCAAGCTGTCCTATTTCAAAAAACTGCTCCAAGTATATGATATAACACTGAAAGAAAATTTAGTCCCATTTGATTTGTGGCAAATTTATCATGCTTTCAAAATGCCTTCCTTGCAATGCAGTCTGCTTTTCTCTCACCTTTTCTATTGCACATCTCCATTTGTTTGCATACACATCTTTCCAGATTCATGCCTTGGGTTTCACTTTTCCATTGAGGTATCAAAGCTCTTAAGTAGTTTCCAGTCGAGTACTTGGCTTCATACAAGCCTACTTTTGTCCTCACATTTCCACTTCCTTCCATTTCTTACTTTACTTTGAATCACTAATGAGCATTAGGACAAGTTGTAAAACTGGAGAAGTGCTACAGTAAACAGTGCTGGTCAGGTGTCAGCTGTTCCCCCTTTTCTGAGCTCACATCATCACTATTAACATTAATGCCTTTTTTTAAAGCCCTAGTGACTTGCAGAGACAAGAATATGATCTAAGAGGAACTCCTGGAACACAGTTCAGTTTAAAAAGCCAGCCAATTTTACAATGTACAAAGAAAAAAAAAAGTACTGAAAAAAAAAAGTCACTTCATTCCAATTCAGCAGAACATTTGTTATAAAGCTCACCACATACTAAGCAGACCTAACAGACCACACAATGACTTCTTAAAAGCACTATGCCAAATTAAGCAGCACAAAAATAAATCGTCAATTATGTTAATATAGTTACTAAGCCACAAAATGAAGAATGCGAAGAACATCATTCTACGTTAAATGAACAATACAAGAGAGATGGAACAAAAATATAGGACAATTCTGGTTTACAAGGTTTGTACTCCAAAAGACAATTCAGTGCAATTTGAGGGCAGGATGGAACAGAGGCCCCTCACCTCCAGACCCAGCCCAGCTCCCACCAACAGCCCAGGCGGGGTAGCTAGTAGAGCTGTGCAAAATTTCTCTGGCAGTTTTGTTTCGATGCTGTTTCTACTTGTTTTGAGCTTGAAGCAGCAAAATCAAAATGAAACAGAGAGCTTTGAAGCAGCCTCAAAATGAAATAAGGCCAGTTGAAACATTTTGAATTTTGAAGCTCAAGCTGGGCTTGCCTGCAGGGAAACAGAAACTAAAGTAAGGAGAGGGAGGGGGAAGGAGCGCTCTCATTATTGACTGTGGAGCTGGCCAGTGACTGTCATCCTTCCCTGAGGTCCCTTCCAATCCCAGTGCTTTGGGGGAGGGATGGAAAAATTCCATAAAAAGCAGCATTTTTGACAGTCACATATGTCATGAGTTTTTCTTGTCAGCGCCAGAGGTGCAGGACCCCAGAAGCCCCTACACCTATCTCCTTGACAGCTGGCAGGCTTTGTGGCTGCAACAGGGCCTAGCAGGCCTGCAGCTTTCACTCCCCTGTGCCCCAAGACAGACACAGTCCCACAGCCACCCATGACATGAGTTTTGCCTTTCAGCAGCCTGAGGTGCAGGGCCCCAGAACCCCTGCACCTAGCTCCTTGACAGCTGGCAGGCTTCGTGGCCTCAGCAGGGGCTACCATCCCTGCAGTTTTCACCCTGCTGTGCCTTCACATACAGTGTCACCCATGTCACGAGTTTTGCTTGTCGGCAGCTTGAAGGGCAATTTCCCTGAAACTGCTGCACCTATTTCCTAGAAACATGGCAGGCATTGTGCCCTCAGAAGGGGCTACCATTCCTGCAAGTTTCATCCAAATCAGACAAGAAATAAAGTCTATAGTCTGTTTCAAGCTTCCCCATTATAGCCTATGGGCGAAACATTGAAACAGTGTTGGAACAGTGAAACTGTTACGACAAAACGAAATGGAACGACAGTTTTGAATCAAAACAAAATGCTGTTCCGTCAAAACGTACCAGTGCTGTTTCGCACAGCCCTAGTAGCTAGGAGGGGGGCTCCATTTTACACCCTCCCCTCCAGCTCCTGCCATGCAAAGCAGCCAGCAGCTCCTGATGTTCCCTCTCCCTCACTTGTCCTTCCCCACTGACAGGCCTAGAGACAGGGCTGAGGGTGGTGCTCTGTGTTAGCACCAGCCCCAAAGCACAAAAAATGAACCCTGGAGGAAACACAAATTCCCTAAGGCACTCTGCTTTAGAGTGCTTTAATCTAATACTCAGTTTGACCAGGGTTAATTTTTCACATGACTGGCCATTTTAAAAGCACTCTGCAGCCATGCACGTGTGTTATGTCATGGCTGTACAGCGATTTTAGGGGCCCAACTGTGTGAAGAATTGAACTTGTGTAAGCAAGCACCCCAAGGCTGGTTTATGCTTTTTCTTTCTTTTTACATTTATTCCTATGTTGCAAAACACTTTTGGCCAGAATACCCAAATATTTTTAATGTGAGAAAGTGAACATAAGGCAACCTGAAACTACATAAACCATTAACTTGCTACAATTACCCAACATGGTTCAATGGCATATTCTTTCTTAGGATTACTTGTTTACGGAGGTTTATCAGGAAGCTTGAGTTAAAATGGGTTGACAGGCAGGCATCATGAGTTGGAATCATCTTAAAGTAGCAGCGATACAGACATAATGCATAATTTACTTTTCACTGAAAGCTGAGATGTTGCGATTTACCTTCCATTCACAGTGCAGTGAGAGCATGCATCTGGGTAGTTAGTTCAGAGCAGTTGGCATGTTTTAAGCCCTTGAGACCTTTTACCTTATAGAAAATTGTTCATATGGCTGTGCCCAAGTACCCCTCAATGATAATGGCTTTATAAACATTTTCCCCATCTTTTCTCTCTTTTACATGTCAAAGATCCACATAAAAGAGAAAAAGACTGATTATATCAAGGAAATTGTGTCAGTGATTATGCCCAAAGTGATGTCAAATGCCTAATGCAAACAGGCTGAACAAAAGAGAATAGAGCTCATTCAATTTCTGTCCGTTATGGCAGTCTTAAGTATTACTTGTTACAAGAGTCTAAAAGTTGTTTAATATAATGTTTTTTTGGGTTTTTGTTTTGTTTTTGTTTTTACAATAAACATGTCTTGGAAAGAGAACAATGTTTTACACAAACAGAAATATCTCAAAACAGAAAATTAACCTGTCACAGTCCACTGATCCAATCAGTACCATTCCTATGAGATCACAGGGCTTATAAGGTACTAAATCCTGGATAAGTATAACCTTCTAACTCAGAGTATTCAAAGTAAAACTGCTGGGTTTGAAGACATGCTGCAAATAAAATAACTGAAGCACTCATCCCCACATTATTCCCACTTTTGCTAAAGTTAAACAACCTCAAAAGTAGTTTGGCTCATCTGTTAGCATGGCTGACTACACAACACCAACAATTAAGAGCATCTTAATCCATCTCCATCTGTCTAGGAAGCTTCACTTCCTTTTTCTGGACAAGGTCATGGGTCACAGAGCTACATGTCTGGATTACTGTAAATTACTTCATTTGAACCTGAATATGAAATAAATGTATAGGTTCCAAGTGGTACAACGTGACTACCTGTTTTTCTTCTCTGGTTTAGGCTATTATGAACATCTCTAACCTATAATATAGTCCTTCCATTGGCTTCTAACCTACTTTCATGGCCAGTTCATAGGAAAATAAGGCTGGAAGGGACCTCAC